GCTAACCCTTCAGCACAACGAGCTTACCTCCAAACTTAATGTAGTAGTGTGCCCACCCTCATTCAGAAATCCAAAACCTGTCGCTTCTCAGCTCATTCAATATCCTAAACAACCCCCCCCCCCCCCAATAATGAAACCATTCAGTCAGGGCGGCCATATGACATTTTCAAAGTTTGTCCTACAATTTTATTTGGTTTCAACGCCCACTGTGTGGAGTAGCAGTGTGCTTTCGATGTTTCCATGGATGCAAACATATCAAATTGATCACAAGGATAAGTTCTATTACGTGCGCTAAAGATACCCGTACCATGTCGAGAATTTTTAATACCCTGCATGAAGAGGTAATCCAAAGGCTATCAGTGAGCATGGACCAACCATGCTATCTCTCAGTGGTGGTACCCAGCATTTAACTGTTGCAGACCATGCTTATACTTTGATCATATCTTAAGCAGTTATCCGCTGTCATCCTTTTTTTCCCTGGTCTTCATAATCAATCAATCAAAACTTTACAGTGACATTCACACGAAGTTGGATAATATCATTTTTGAACATACAAGTAACTTGTGTACAGGACTGACCTAGATGTATTGCACATGTATTCAGTGTCAAAACCATGATTTAAAAATAAATAATAGTGGAAAAAAAAAAAAAAGGGTCTATAAAAGGTATTTGGCTCAGTACCTCATCACAGTTTCTTTCTTGTAAAGCTTTGCCCTCTCTCAACTCGTCTTGCATGAAGACATTAAAAGCAAGCTTCTGCCTCAAACTGTAATCACTGGAGTGTAAGTAGTTGGCAAATCTTTGCTCCAAAAGCAACAGCTGCCTTAGTGGTAAGGGACATGCTCTCCAACTTCTACTTCCCTTCACAGTAACATTTTGGACAAACATATGTCTGATTTCCCCCCCAAATTACTTTTTATCCATTGTAAACGGAGCCACATATGCTGGTGGTTGCCAGCCTCTGCCTTATCACATTGAACCGCGACTGCAAGAACAAAATGTCCACTATGGAGGTTGAGTATCATTAAAACATTTTTGTTGGTCAAAGAGATTTAAAGATTTCATGTTGCTCTGAAATTCGAATATCGTCAGAGCTGAAAACATGCAAAAGCTGCTACCCGATTCTTTCATCTTCATGGGTTTAATCCTTTCTTGATGAAATTTTGCCTTGAGAAATAGAAAATCCATGGAATGAGATCTCACGACATGAGATCCTTGAAGCTAGTTACAAAAAAACTGCTGTGTCCATTTTGTCAGGTGCCAATGATAGAATCAAATTGAGCTTGATACGAGCAGCCAGACAAGATGAGCACATTAGTAGGTGACGCGGGCAAAGACACACAGCTTGTCCATCGAGAAGACATGAACTGGCAGTGACTTGTTCAACAAACGAATCGTGCTTTCTTGTGTTTCCTGTTCCATTTCCTGCATGAATTTCTCGATCATCTTATATCGACGCACATGACCAATAATAATGGGTCACATCTACTTTAAGGCATCATCTTTAGGCCAATAAAAACAAATCGCTGAATTTGAATAAAAAAATCTGACAGATGTATTAATTCTTTTTAAGATCAATACGTCCAATACTACAAGTGAAGAATAGACAATAATTGGGTTGGCAACTTGGCTAACATACAGTTTAATACTTGGTGAAAAAACACAAGGGACAGCACCAAACTAAAGGTGACGGACTTTTCCGATTGAATGTGCTTCAAAGGAAAGAGATAACCGCAACAACATAATGGGAATGAAGGTTGTGAGAGACAAACTGATCAAAAAGGCCTTTAATGGACCAGAAGAGAAGCAAAGCCATTAGAACAGAGTCAACTAAAAGGTGAATGTAGCACTGACCAACTAAACTGCCTGCAGCGACTGGACTCAATGTTCTTTCATTTCTTCCTACTAGTGAAAGCCAATTGATCCACAGACTCACAATGATCTTTCTGGCTCCCTAACCTGACTTCATCTCCTGAACTCTGCCTGATAGTAATAAAACCTCACTTTTGCCTCTAGGTTTGCTTTGTCGACTGGTCTGACTTCTTTCTTCTCCTCTTTATGAACAGCAGGAGTTTCTTTCAGAAGGAACAGGCACCTGCAAATTAAAATTCGAAAATTATCTGCCACATATTAGAACCTCACTTGTGCATGTGGGGTACTGGTCTCCTTTCTTTAGAACCAACACATGGTTCTTGGAGGTGAATGGGGAATACTCTTCAAAGTTGGACATCTGTCAGTTTCTGTACACTATTATTCCAGTTGAACTAGTGATCTGTGGATTCCAAAGGGGAGTTGACATTCCAGTGTTAACCTTTGTTGCATCTAAAATTACAGATGCAGAAGCTTCAGGCCATTGCCTCGCGAAAGTGTGGGAGTTGTTTGAGGTTCACAAGGTTGAGTATTGACAACGCAAACTACGTAGAAACCCCAATTTCAATGGAAACGTGATTCCCCATCTTCAGACGTTTTGATGGATGCTGAATATCTTCACTAGGGTGAGCGACTGGTAGACTAAGAATCATTATCAGCAGAACAGCATCTTAAGGACGCATCTCTTCCTTGTTTCTCAGATCCTTGGGGAGGTTTACGCAGTAACCACAAGAACCTTTGACAAGCCTGCATATGTTGCACTCGCAACACATGAAGTTATTGAATGGAAAGAGAACATAGAAATATTGGTCACAGTTTTGTCATGGTGCAGCTCATTTACATCCGTTTGATATGCATATGTTTGATAAAGGAAGACTTGGCTTTCATCTAACATGTGTTGTCTATGAGTGTAAATCATAAGAAAACGAAAGAAATAAACATGAGATCACTCTGAATGCGCAGGTCTGGGCAGCTCCATTTTTGGATCCAAAAGGATAGAAGAACTTGTCGTAGTAAGCAACATATTGAACACTCATGGATGACCGTTTTGAAGGAAGAGAGGACAGGCATTGAAATTGCTTCTTCTGGTGTTATCGTTTGTTGATGCATTCATCATCTTCAGAACACGGCTATTTCCTGGTGATTGTTCAGGATGACTCATCACGCACATCAGTGGCTGCTGTTGCGGCTGACTGGACACGAGCTTGAGTTTCCTGGCATCAGCAAGTTGTAGGTTTGCAAATAAATCCTCACAATTGACATGGAGTATTGGAAAATTCTCTAGGTGAGAAATACCAGAGGCTTCAGGCTCAGCTGTCGATCTGCTTGCAATAGTTCCTGGAAGGATTTGGCAAAAGGTACTCCAAATTTCCCCCAACAATGGATGTAAACACCCAGGTATAAACATTCTGATGTGTTCTCAGCAGGAAACGTCCCATGTTTATCACATTCATGTCGTCAACCTGACCAAATAATCATTCAGAATAAAGCCATGAGAAAGGGCATGCAGAGAGAAAATAGAAACCTAAAAAAAAGGGATAAAAGCGATTAGGCCATGCCAAGGGATGGGTGAGTTGGTCCTTCCATTGAAACAATAAAGTATTCGGTGCACATGTCATGAGAATTGGTGCCACCAATCCAATTTTCACCAGTTACGAGTCAATTAAAAGCATTTCGAGTACCAAATTCAGACGAAGATTATTTTTTATCAAGCAAACTTCAACAAGATTACTATGCTATCCACGATTCTAAACAGGTTCAACTGAACCTATATGTAAGAATTTATGTATTCATTGATTTATTGATTGATGTATTACAAGATTGATTGATCTTGGTGTTAATGTATTACAACTCCTTATATATCAGACAAGGGTTGGTAGTATGGTGTGTGGAGGTGATCACGTGGTAGGTGAAGTGGCAGTTGTGTGGTGAAGTGAAGGTAGGGTGAAGTGGAGTGTGTCGTGGAGGTAGGTGAAGGTAAAGATTGGGGAAAAAAAAAAAAAAAAAAAAAAAAAAAAAAAAAAAAAATGTAAGAATTTATGTATTCATTGATTTATTGATTGATGTATTATCAAAGATTGATTGATATTGTGGTTACTGTTTACATACTCCTATGTATAGAAAGAAAGGTGGTAGTGAGGTGTAGTGGGAAGGTGCTAGTGGTTGTGAAGTGGAGTGTGTGGTGAAGTCGGAGTAGGCTGAGTGGACGTGTGTAGTGGAGAGGTGAAGTAATGATGGGAATTCTAACGAGCCCCCCGCAAACTCAAGGAGGAGAGAACCTAACCATTACTTGAGTTTGGAAGAGAGTAACAAACACAGAAAATACATAAAATAAAAAGGGATAGGAGGAACATGTATGTCGTGTCAGACCGTGGTGAAGACACTGTAATGGGTGTGTCATAACGTCGTATGAGGACATGTACTGGTGGTGTCAAGACCGTGTAGAAGACAGTTTATGGGGTCAATGTTTCGAGCGTTGTAGAAACAGTTTATGGGGTCATGTCCGGACGCCGTTGTAGACAGACGTTTATCGGGGTCATGCGGACGATTGAAGAAACTAACGCGGAATCTATGTCGGCGACCAGTTTACAGAGTCTTTGTCGGACCCTTGTAGAAACTTAACGGAATCTAGTTTCGGGACAGTTCACGAGTCTTGTCGGACCCCATAAAGGAAACTACCGAAATGTAATAGTCGGACAGTTTCTACAAGAGTCTTGTCCGGACCCCTAAATAGGACTAACCGAAATTAATGTCGGGACAGTCTTACATGAGTCTTGTCGGCACCTTAAAAAATGCACCCTCAAAAGGTGTGCCAATTTTTCAACAAGGCCGTGCATCAAAAAGGCCGTGGCCCAATTATAAAAAAAGGTTGTGGGGAAAGAGGTTACGATTTATTAGGTCTTAATATGGGAGAGTTCTGGGATTAGAGTTTAGGCTATTTTGGGGTTATAGATAGATATTAACCTGATATTGATACCTTTCCTTTCATGTAGAGATTGATTGCCTGACTGAAGGGTGATTTTAGGGTTGTAGATATTAGTGTTAGAAATTCACTAGAAAGAAAGAAGTGTAGGAATCTTGCCTGGAATCGTTGGGCTTCATCACACAATACACAGTATCTATGTCTCCAAACTCTAGTCTTATTAGGTTTGTGTCCAAATTCCAATCCTACTTCTGCTATGACCTGGACTTTAAAATTGGAAACCTGGACTTCTTTGACTATTAAGATTGTTTTTGTTTAACCAAAAAAAAAAGATTGAAAATAAAAGGAAAAAGAACAATAAAGATAAGGGGGGACAACCAGTCCACCAAAAAGAAAAGGAAAAAACAAAGTTACAAATGGCATATGACCTTCCATTAAAAAAACAACGCCCAATTAGTACACATTAATGTGTGTTTGGGAGGGAAAAGATTGAGTACACACCTAACCTTTTAGCATAATGCACAAAGTGGTGGCCCCAAGACTTGAAACCATAACCTTAAGGTTATTAGGCCAAGTCTTAACCATGACCTTCCATTAACTAGATATTATAAACAAAGGAATTCCATTGAAACGAATATGTTGAGCAAAGTAATGGATATCACAAGAAATAAATTTCCGCGGAGACCGAGTGTTTACTCTTGATTACAAAATGCCAAAGAGAATTGTTCTCAATGGGAAACCAAGCAACGCAATGTTCTTAGGCTAATTTTGTCAACAATGCTGCTTTGACTTAGTTCTCTGTGCTCTTTTTCTTTCTTCATTTTAATTTTTTTTTCTTTTTAAATTTTACCTCAGCAAGAGTATATCTAATGTTTTATGTTTCAGCATCCTACTACAATTGCTTGATATAAGATGTTCAACCTATTTCTAGGTACCTAGAGCAGCGAATCTTGCTGTCAGAGTGGTGCTATCTGTCAAAAAACTACTGAAAGTGAAGCAGCAATTTTTAGATATCTTCCATAATGAGAAATACCCAACAGAGTTCCCATACAGATCGAAGGTAACAGAAATTCTAGTGGTTTGTGCTTAAGCAATTTTCTTTTGTTTGATCTTAGTTGAGGCAACTATAAGAATTTCACCTGGGACTTGTGAAAAGACCAAAAATCTCCTTTTAATTGCTGAAACACCACCACCTCCTTCTAGATTTTGGGTTGACTTATAGTTAACACATTTCCTTATTCAACTTCAGTATTGCATTGCTCAGTCTTGGTTAATGAATATGCTATGATAAATGCCATACAATTCATTAAAGTGCTTTTATCATTTGAAAAGAGAAAAGACATGAGGTGAGCACATTTTGATAACCACAGGGTAGATTGTTGGTGTTACAAAGTCTTCAATGAAATCTATTATTAACTACTACTCTTAGTTGTTTTATATTTTCGGGAATTCTGACATATCCTTTCTCAATTAGGTGATACTTCTGTTTCAAAGAATTGAAGGTGTAGATGTATGCCTCTTTGGAATGTATGTCCAGGAGTATGGTTCAGAATGTAGTCACCCAAATCAACGTTGTGTATATATCTCGTATCTTGATTCTGTGAAGTACTTTAGACCGGAGATAAAAACTGCATCTGGTGAAGCTCTTCGTACCTTTGTTTACCATCAAATATTGGTAATTATCCTTGTTTAGTTTTATTTGTTTAATCTCTGTTATCTCAACATCAAATGAGCATTTAAAGATTCTATAATAAAATAAAGTAACAAAATTGGCTCCTTGCCTTTTCCTTTGTTGTCATTATCAGATAGGATACCTTCGGAGATCGATTACGGAGAGAGAGAGAGAGAGAGAGAGTGAGAGAGAGAGAGAGAGACGCACCAAAATTTGAAGATTGAGCTCCCAATCTGCCTTGGAGCTCCCGACTTTAGGGCTGAAGATTGAGCAAACCGAGGTACGAGAGATTGAAGATTGACAATTGAAGATTGAGCTCAATCTTCAATTGTCAATCTTCAATCTCTCGTACCTCGGTTTGCTCAATCTTCAGCCCTAAAGTCGGGAGCTCCAAGGCAGATTGGGAGCTCAATCTTCAAATTTTGGTGCGTCTCTCTCTCTCTCTCTCCGTAATCGATCTCCGAAATCGACCTCCGAAATCGACCTGTAAGAGCTCCAATTCGAACTTTCAATTTCTTATCGTTATCGATCTGTGTTTTACATAGATTGAACTGTTTATTGTATTTTCAATTTCTTATCGTGTTTCAATCTGTGTCTTACTTTATTTCTTATCGTGTTTCAATCTCTGTTTATCGTAATCGATCTCTAATCTCCGTAATCGACCTATTTATTGTATTTTCAATTTCTTATTGTGTTTCAATCTATGTCTTACTTTATTTCTTATCGTGTTTCAATCACTGTTTATCGTAATCGATCTCCGATCTCCGTAATCGACCTATTTATTGTATTTTCAATTTCTTATTGTGTTTCAATCTGTGTTTTGCAGAGACTGAACTTGTTTCTTATCTTAATGCTTGTTGGAATTGAACAATTGTTTACATAGATTGAACTTGTGTGTGTGTATATATGTATGTCTAATCTAATGCGTGTTGGAAATGAAGAATTGGGGTTGCGTAAGAGAAAAAGGACACAAGAATATCATCTATTCTCTGATTATTTTTTTCATTTTTGTTATAAATCAATAATGAAATCTACGCCTCAAACAGAATTGCATTATAATAGATTATTGTTCCAAACACACAGATCATTTAAGAAATCAGAACTTGATAAATAAGATTATCAGCGCTTAAAATATCTCCTTGCACTACGAGACACAATTACGTATACTTGCTACATTATCCAGTATATTTCCCTTAAAAAATTCTCATTGCAAATACCACCATTATTTAAAAGCTTCTTCAGATTAGCAATTTTCGGGTACACCTTCACATTGCAGAAACTTTATCCACATTCAATGTAAAATGCACATGAGTTTTAGGTTGTCATGAGCAGACAACCTGGCAAACAAATCTTTAAACCAGATATTGAGAAGTATATTGTAAACATTCAGGTGAGCAGTAATTATCAGGGAAACATTATTTATAAACCTTCATATCATGCAACTGACTTCTTAGAAAGACTAAAAGTTTTGACTGTCTTAGGACCCTCAATTTCAAGCAAAGTATTGAACTATAATCAGGAGAAAAAAGGGGTGAGGGCTTGAGCTTTACGGCTCAACTGTTGTCACCTATTGCCATTCTCCATCTATTTCTTCTTTCCACAATGTTACATTGTTTTTCCCATCAGCCACGGCCAGTATGTTTCCAGTGAGCGACGAAGAGACCCTCCAAACAGGGGTCTGAAAATCCTTCAAAACCTTACCATCCCATTGATCCCCTTCCTTCGCCACAGTCCACACAATGACTCTCCCATCCTGTGAAGCACTTGCAATTGTGGATTTAGGGAGTCCTAAGTTAGGTGCCCAAGCAACATCCCTAACCCAATCAGTATGGATTTGAAGAGTAGGGAAGCAATCCATCTTCCAAACTCCATTAGAAAGCTTCCACACTTTTACAATATTATCATAATAGAAAATTTTACAGATTTGACATGCCGACTGCTGATTAGTTAGGAGATAAAAAATAACCCAATTAGTGTGATACAGATTTTTATTAGTCAAAAATATAATACCATGGTATATATGAAAGTATTAAATAATGTTTAGAGAGGAAGAAACTTTTGTAGTTATGAGTGTTTTTGTACAAAAAAATTTCCATGCATACTCTAGTTAATAAAGCACTTTTGGTACATGGTCTTGTTCAGTTAGATTCCGCTTTTACATATATGCTCCTATTCTCTTCAGGTTGTAGTGAAGGATGTGCCTGTTAATACAGAGGATACAGATGTTATTATAGATAATGGTTACTTTGAGAATCGGCACTCCTTCTTAAGCTTCTGTCAAGGAAATCATTATCAGTTTGATACCCTTCGCCATGTCAAGCATTCCTCAATGATGATCCTTTATCATCTCCATAATCCAACCAAGCAAAGTGTTGGGACCAGCTGCTGCATTTGCCATCAGGATATTGTGGTGAATCAGGGATGGCACTGTGAGATCTGTCCAAGGTTTGATGCTTGTGATGGATGCTATCATAGAAAAGGTGATGATTGTCATATTCATAAATTAAGTCAATGTTCATCCGTTGTAAGTTGTGGGTCAAAGAATGGACAGACTCAGCAGCAGAAATCTACGCAGGTATGGAGAAATATTTAAATATGCATTTCAACTTTTAAAGAAAAAGCTTAATCACAAGATTATAGAAGTTAAAACCCTGATGTCAGATTTTAATGCTTCTCACTTGCCCAGAGTCTATTCTTGGGTTCAAACAAAATATCAATCTTTTGACCTTCTAGTGGTTGCAGAGGCAGGGGGTTATTGTTTTAGAGGCACATGTCAAAGCTTTTAAAGTATTTAAAAAAAGATCCAGTTTCCTATATTTTTCCAAATTTTTTCTGTCAGCATCTTGTAGCTAATTGTTTGAGTTTCTTTTCCTTTGGGTTCAAAGATTCGATCTTTCAGTCTTGCAGTACAAAAAATTAATACCACAAGGGGTCAGTTATTTCCACACCACGTGTAGAAGTTTTTGAAGCATTTCTTAAATGAAAACTGTTAAATTTTAATTCTGGTACTACAACTTTTTTGCAATTTTCTATATTACACCTTAAAAGTTAGGGCCCTGCTGGAGGTTGTGCTTGGATTGTGCCTCATTGCTCTTGGCTCTACACGTGTTGAGTTTTACCATATCAACAACATTTTCAATTTTATATTTTCTACTTTGAATAGTCTCTAAGTGCTTCCTTGGTCACTTGTTGCTCACTTCCTCTGGTTGAAGAATATCACATGGGTTTTCTAGTTCATATTTTCTACTTTGAATAGTCTCCAAGTGCTTCCTTGGTCACTTGTTGCTCACTTCCTCTGGTTGAAGAATATCACATGGGTTTTCTAGTTTATATTTTCTACTTTGAATAGTCTCCAAGTGCTTCCTTGGTCACTTGTTGCTCACTTCCTCTGGTTGGAGAATATCACATGGGTTTTCTAGATTTAACAACTTTATAATCTGGTGGTGCAGATGAGGGAAATACTGGATGTTCTGATGCATGCCTCCCAATGTAATGTGACCAAAAGCAGCATCTGCTCCTATCCAAACTGCGTTCTGGTAAGAAGGCTTTTCCACCATTCACATCAATGCAATCTTCGGTTTGCTGGGGGCTGTCTGACCTGTCAGAAAACCTGGATGCTGCTGGCATTGCACTCAAAAGATTGCAGAGATTGTAATTGCCGGGTACCACGCTGCATGTATGTTACACAAACATTTATAATTTTTTACTTTTGTTTCTTCCATTTGGAAATTGTTGTAATAATGCACTTCCAATGTGCAGGGATCTTAAGAAGCATGCTGAAATGCTTGCGTTGTAGTCTGAAACCCAGCAAAGGGCTGAGTAGTAAGGTCATTAAGAGGTTTCTGAGAAGATATCGTTATGGATGGATCATCAACATTCAACAGCAGCCATTTGTACAGTTAAACACAGTGACAATTGTACAGTCAAACACAGCAACAATTGTACTGTAAGCTAGTGGGCTAGACAAAAGTATGCTTAAGCTACAGAATGCAAAGAGTTTAAGACAGAAGATATTGTTACGGGTTAGACAGAAGTATGTGTAGTGAACATTTATGCCGGTTGTGCGCTAAGAGTTCCATTTTGTTTTCACTAGGACATCCTTCTTTCTGTAAAGGTAAGAATCACCCATTTTTATCAGAGATTGAGATGGATTCAAGCTTAGCCTTAGCTTGCAATATCCAAATAGTGGATTGGTTCATTGAATTGGTGCATGAATGAAAAGAAATAATGATTATTTGGTTTTGCACCAAGTTGCATGTCATGTAAGAAGACCATTCAGAGAAGTTTGTAAATACTCCCTATATTTTTGCATTCTAGATTTTTCTCTTGGTTTGGTTGTATTGGTTATTTAGGTGCACATTTCGATGTATACATATGGAATAATGAATTTGATTTTTAATTTTGGACAAATCCATTTTTGTCATATGAAGTCGTCTACTGTCTACCATCTTGAAATTTTTTTACGTCATCTTGTCCTCAGGTAACAGCCGTCTTTGGGGCTGTTATGGGAAATACAATCTTCTTCTTCTTGAATATAGCCTATTCAGCAGGTATGACAGCAGATAAAAGTCCCTATTCATGATTTGGTTCAGGTGTTGAGGGGTTGTAGGGTTAGCTTCAGAAAGAATTACAGCAACAACCCCGGGCTGGCTAAAAATGTTTTGTGTTCAATCGAAGTCTGAGGACAGCCAAGTTAAGTGGAAGACCAAAAGATGCTATGAAACCCCTAGGGCACCTGGAGGCAGGTCTACCGTTGAAGAGATCCATTTTATCATATGAACAGTGAGAAATCTACTGATTTCCATCTTGAAAATGTTAACAGTTGCTTAAATCCTAATCCTATACAGGTAGGCAGTTCTTAACTTGTTTGCTGGTGATTTGATCATGATTGCTAGAGATTGGTAGTCTCAATTTATTATTAATTTTTTGTATTAATTTCAGCAGAAGATTTTAAATGGGGTAAGCCTGTGCTGAGCTGTGGAATGATAATCCTCAGTAAGCAAGGTTTAAGCTGAGCAAACGTGTGGAGGCTAGTAGGTAATGCAACTTGATCACTCTTTTCTTTTTTTTTTTTTTTTTGGGTGACAGAGATTGATTTCCATGACTTGAACCCCGTCATAAGGTTGGGTAGATCACTGCAACAGTGTTCAACTACTCTGCAGCACCAGCAGCAAAGAAGGCACTCCAAATAAGAAATTATAGGTAAAAACATGGTTTGAACGATATTTGGAGATCTTGCTACTGTTGGTTATTTTTTCAAATGCGCAATCCCACTTCCCATGTAACATTTAATGTACTCCTTAACTGTAACCAAGCATATCATGGTTAAACTTCATTCACACCTGACACCTCTTGGTACCGCCATTTCTTTACTCGAGGAATTCTGGATATGAATTTAAACATGGCAATGTACAGCAAGAAAGAACATGGCATGTATGATCTTTTTGAATTGTTTCAAAACATGTACTTGTAGATTAAAATTTGCCCGAATGTGTTTGACCTTGATAACAATCTATTGTTTAAAACTTAAAATTTGCCTGAATGTGTTGGACCTTAATCTCTAAAAGCCTGTCATGTTTTCCATTTGAAAATCACATATTCTTCCAATAAAATACCATCTTATAGGACTTCTCGGGGACAAAAATTAGGAAATGAAAGAAAATAACTAATGGAGGGGGATGGCAAATGTAAATGACATATTTGATCTGTGAAATTGACAGTACCTAATTTATGTTTTGGAGGGAAAGAATTACATAGATTTCCTAATTCAATATGATGTTCTTACCTGCATCCTGCAAAAAAATTAACAAAAAACAAAATAAAAAAAAAATTATTCACAAAGTTGTTCCAGCCGACTATCACACGTGATGAACAAGGCAGTTGCTGAAAGTTAGCTTCTTCAGAGTCTATTGCTCAAGTGGTAAAAACCGATCTGCTTAATCGATGAAGGGGAGCGGGATGTTCAAATAACAGTTGCTGAATGAGCTTTTATATGAACAGCTGTTTTGTTTATATTGGGCATATGTTATTTTTAAACTTTTTTGGGTTCTTTTCCCTAACATTAATTTGTAATTCATCCCAGTTTTGGCATTATCTTCAAGTAGCTCTTGATAATTTTGGAGTAAGATTTTACATTCTCATTCTTATTCAGGAAGACGAAACCATTGAATGATTTTGGGCAAACTTTGAAAGTGACGTTTTTAGGATAAATTACACTGGCCTGGCCTTAAGTAC